CTGTGTCACTGCATATTTCTGTTGCTGAAGGTAATTCACTGAACCACCTATAAGGTCCCTACAGATGGCATCAGTCACCATCCTCCCGTGCCCAGGGGATGCCAAGTCAGACTCTAATTTGTTGACGGGAAATGAGGAATACCTGAGTCCTTAGTTCTTTCTTCTTTCCCTGTCATGTGTTGCCAAATAGGACTCATTACTGTTGGCCGCAGTAAACATAATGTTGCAGAGGGCCTGCCATTTTCAGGAACACACTTTCCCTAGATGCTAATCATGAGTTTATTGAGTGCCTAAGTCATCAACGGAAGAACTGCCAGTCTCATGTCTCTATGGATTGTAAAATAATGAAGGCTTTTTCTTAAGAATTCTTTAATCTGGGTGTTTATTTACTCAATAGGTTAGTTTATAAGGAGATCTGGGCTTTCCAAGCATGAAGAGGTGAAAAACTTTTAGGGGTCTCACACATTTTTGCGCGTGGGGAACAGTATGGTTCAGAAATTAGTTCAGTTTTCGGCAAATTTACAGTACTGCCCATATTTTCCTAGGAAACACTGTGGACACTCTACTTCTCATGTGAATATGTGTCAACACATAGAGATCACTCCAAAGAGAGTGTAGCTGTGACAACCTCAAGTGTGTCTGGAAACATGAATTATTTTCTTGTTTGCAAGCCATACCAATACGTGTGAAGTGAATCTCTTACCCAGGTCTTGCAGAGGGACATAAGCCCTAATGCCTACAATATCACGGGTGATGGTCACTGGTTTGAGGACCATCGCATTCAGGGGGAACCCTTTCACTACAGAAACACTGACCTAATTGTTTTTGGATGAGACTGTACCCCTTTAGATGGAATGGTCCTCACCTAACTGTGCATCCCGGCATTATTTTTAGGAAAAGACTACAAGAGCTGTGTGTACACAGATCTGAGGGACTCCAGGCTTGTTTATCTTCTGTGAAGCAGTCATTGTCATTGATTTCAATCAAGATCTTTTGTTGCTCCTGTAGCTTCTCAGAAGTTCCCATCAGAGCCATTGGTGCGCTGGCATCAAAAGAAAGATGGAGACAATGGCGGTCTTTAGACCAAGAATGTGGCTTTTGTGGGTTTGGGGAGAGTTCTTTATTGTTTATTACATTTTCTGTCACTAAGTTGAGACTCTCACCCAGAGGGCATAAGTACGGGGACTGAACATAGAGTTGCCAAACTTTTTCTTCCATAATACCATTGAACCGTTTTTAACAGCTATAGTGAGTAAATTACATGTGTTAAGTATAGTGTTTCATGAATCTTGACATGTACATGAAACTGAAACCATCATTATAGTCATAATGCTGACCATATCTGTCTCTGTGTAATTGCATGATGACCTCTTAATCTGTCCATCTTTTAAGCTGTTCACAGGTTTCCTAGTAACCATGGATTTACATTTCATTTTCATAGAGAACTTTATTTTTCTAAGTATTTTTCTGCATTAGTTTATGTTTCATAAATACTTGGAGATTTATTAAAGTTACACTAGTAACTGATCATTTTTCCCATAGATATTCTTACCATTGATATATCACCATCAGTTTTTCCATTTTAGTAAATATTTGGTTATTTCTAATAAAGCTGGTACAAACATCTCTTTATAATTTTTTGTATGTATATAAGTGTTATTTAGCTTTGTCAAAATTTCAGTGCATAGTCTGTGGTTTTTGAGAAGATGAATGTTTAAATTTACCGAGATTGCCGAACCGGTTTGGCTCAGTGGATAGGGCGTCGGCCTGCGGACTCAAGGGTCCCGGGTTCGATTCCGGTCCGGGGCATGTGCCTGGGTTGAGGGCACATCCCTACTGGGGGCTGTGCAGGAGGCAGCTGATCGATCTCTCTCATTGATGTTTCTAGCTCTCTATCCCTCTCCCTTCTTCTCTGTAAAAATTCAATAAAATATATTTTTAAATAAATAAATAAATAAAATAAATAAATAAATTTACCGCGATTAGCAAATTGTGATCTAAATGGAATATACCACTAGGGCCGGTGTGGGTCAGTACTTGTCCATCATCTCATGTAGCACAGGGTTGTGGATTTGATTGCCAGTGGGGATATGTGCCTGTGTTGTGGGCTAGCTCCACAGAAGTGGGTGTGCAGGAGATCACTGGCCAATATGGCACTCTTCCATCAATGTTTCTCTCTCTCCCTTCTCTCTCCAAAAATTAATAAACTATTCTTTAAAAATAAAAAATAAACCTTTCCCTAGCCGCTTTTGAACAGTGGAGTGAGCGTCAGTCATTGAACTAAAGGGTCCCTGATTAGATTCCAGCCAAGGACACATGTCTGGGTTTAGGGCTGAATCTCAGCTAGTGGGCCTGTGGGAGTTGCAATCAATGATTCTCTCTCCCTCTCCCTTCCTCTCCAAAATCAATTAGAAAATATGTTTAAAAACAAAAACCATCAGTGTCTATGGCATGTCTCACTAAGAATGGAGTGACTCAACCAATAGCCGAGGTCTATGGTATGCTAATAAGTAATAAAGATTGTTTTTAAAAAATAAAATAAACCGTAACTGGTTCTACTTTTTTGCATTTGGCCAGTGGTGTGTGAGGGATTCACATTCTTCACATCCTAGAGAATATTTTGTTTGGTCAATCATTATTTACTTAAAAATTTTATTTTGTAAGTTTGTCATGCTACCTCACTGTTTGATTGTCTTTTTTCTAGAAATTTATGGTGAGTCTTTTCTCCAATATATATTTGCTGTGTCTGTATCTTTCTTAAAACCTCTGATCATATGTTCTGCCTAATGTTTTATGAGTTTTGGCAATTTTCTTTAACAAAAAGACAATTGGATAACAAATATGAATGTTAGAATTTTCACTCATTTTGTGCCTTTTTGATTTAGGAAATAAATTTTTGTATTGATATAAAGTGTTTTTAATAATTTTTACCTGTTAAAAATATCTATTTTTAGAGATTTTAAAAATATTTTTTATTGATTTCACAGAGGAAGGGAGAAAGAGAATCATGAGTAATGAGAGAGAATCATTGATGGGCTACCTCCTTCACGCTGCTGCTGGGAATGGTCCTCACAACCCAGGCATGTGCTCTGATGAGAAATCGAATGGGGGACATCTTTGTGCCTGTGCTGATGCTTAACCACTGAGCCGCACCAGCTAGGAATTTTTAGTTTTTAAATACTATGCACAATGCAGTGAACACTTTTAATTTTAACCCGCACAACTAACATTCTCCACCACCTTCAGAAGAGCAACTTTAGAAAAACTCAGGACAGGAACCCTTCAGTTCCCCAGTGCCAACAAGCACCTTTGTGTGTAAGGGCTTTTGAGAAAGAACTGGGGCCTTTCTGAACCCGCTGACCCACCTGCAGGGAGGCAGTACTGTGGGCACTAAGGTCTCAGTGTTGGGTCTCCAACCTGGAATCTCCAGGAGACTCACTACAGCTCCCTGCACCTCAGTTGGTTAAATGTAACATGACGCTGATACCGGACTTAGCTAGGACTGTGAGAATCAATAAAAGTTACAAAGTTGGTACTTGCCTGGGCCAGGGTTCCAGAGATGACTGTTTGAGTATTTTTGTCTTTTAATTCTCACAAAAACCTGGAAAGTCTAAACGGGTATTGAACTGCTGGGAACATCTTCGATTACAGAAATGAGGAAGATTTTCCAAGTTTACTTAAGAAACAATGCCAGGGCTGAACAGCAGACTCTGAGTGATGGATGAATGATTACTCTGACACATTTTTGTGATAGAAAGAGCTAATGGACTGCCTGGATAAGAGAACCAAACAGCCCCGTTCACCTACCTCCTTAGGCTTTTATTGTAACAACAGCTTGAATCAAAATTAACTATTAGATACTATCAGTAGGGTAAGCATCCTTGAGATCACACATGTGTCTGCAGCTAAAGA